TTGCTGAAGATTTGAAGTACCGCATGGTCTTAATTTTTGGAATGAGTGGGGTTCTGGCATGGAGGGGGTTGATTCGTTAGGGAGACGCGGAACAGCGCGGATATTTAGCAGTTATATGGGGGCGGCGAGAGCCAAGCCTCTTGCGAGCTCTCACAGACCCTTTATAATTCACCACACCGTAAGGCTTCGAATGGGAGATTGAAGAGTGTGGAACAAATGGTACGAAGATAGCATTTCATTTGTTTCAGATCCCGCAGATCCCACCCCACGTGAGCTAGAATATATCGCGCTTCAAGTTTGCATACTGGAATGCCGAGAGGCGGTTCTGAGGAAATTTGCTGAAGGATTGAGCCAATGGGACTAAAATCAAGGGCTAGGAGAACCGAGGTACGATCGAGCAATACAAATCACGGGATCTAGAAGCGACGAAAGAGGAAATGTTTGCGCCCGGTTAAAAATGACGCGTACTGTATAGACAAAGCGGAAGAGGTAGAAGCTTGGGAGTGTGACATGAGTCAACGATGATGCTTCCCGGCCTTAGGGACTTTTCCGTGATGCGGACTTTTCAGTTGAAATCTGATTGGAACGTAGGAGTGAAATGATGAGCAAGAAGTGATGGAATGAAGCTGAAGGAGACTACGGTGGAGACGGATGAGTGATGAGATTGCGGCTATTTTCTGGACGCGGATCGTCCGCCCTAACACGTGATTTACATTCACCCTAAGTTGACAGTGTGATGACGGTTGAAGAATAGTCAGCTCTTTTTTTTTTTTTTTTTTTTTTAAAAAATTTTTTTTTTGCTGGGAATCTACAGATACGGTCTAGTTTATCGCATTAGATGTGGCCATCTAAAAAGTCGCGATCAAGTCGCGATCAAAACCGGGCCCCGTGTCAGAGCTTCTGTCATTTCGCCTCTTCTTCATCCTTCACAACTACACTCTCTCATCGCATCTATGGTATTTACTCTTCCCAACAACTTCCGCCTCCGAAACGATTGATATATTGATGCGCCCATCTTGTTTAGCAGACTGCTTGTAGTTGATTACAGGCTGAGAGTCTGGCAGCTGCACGAAGCTTGGGAACGATGGTTCTCTCCTGTTATTCTCCAGACCGCTTCGGCTCGATCTCGTTTGTACCATCCATCCCGTCAAGGCCTTGTGGAGGAGCTTCACGTTCGCACTCGGCTTTCCTCCTTCTGGCAAGTAGACTAACAAGGGGGAGACGTCAGCAGCAATCGCAATCTTCGCAAAGGAATATTCAAATTCCTCCAGTCAAGAAGACGGCAGCCATACCGACATTTTTCTCTCGTTCGCAGCTGAAGCGTCCAGATGATCGAGATTGGAAAGCAAAGCAAAGCGATGTCAAGAAGCAGGCCAATGACGTTAACCCAAAGGAACGCTTGAGAAGCATTTACGCATTCCCCTTGCACATGCGGGTTGAACGCTGCTCTGACAGGCTTGCATGTAAACATCGTGACGAAAAACATCGTCACCATCCAATCTCCGGACAATATACCGATTCCAAAGAGTGATTTGCTTATCGAGTTCTTTACAGAGAAAAAATCTGTAGTACAGACATATTCCGCTCAATCGCGCAGCAACCTGAGTGGCAGACGTGAAACGATTGAGAACCATGATGTCTGAAAATCTCGTAAGTCGAAGCTACACACGGATCGTCATTATCATTACTTACCAACATAAGCTCGCCCAGGTCATCTAGTGATTATGTAGACTGTAGACCGTCTCAATTGCGGACGCCATTCTTTGCATGCATGAATTCGCTCTATTTACATCTATGCAGCTGGCAAAAGTCTATACAAGACGTACCTAGACTGGTGCAAATAAAGTCACTCCACATGAAAAGACAAGCAGCTACAGCCAGCCAGTGGTCTCATTTCAATGTCGATTTCGTCAACCCGCGCGTATTGAATCGCAGGACGACTGCAATTGTGGCTGCGACTCCCACGATGATGTGTTCCACCAGCACTCCGACCAACACATTTTGAGGGTTTACGCCGGGCATCATAGCTGCACTGCAAGATTGCGGCGTAGACTTAGCAAGTTCTCCATAGGCTCTTTTCGAGAGACTCTGTAAAGCGGGGCGGCGGCTGACAGGCCGTCTAATATTCCAGAAGGATCTACGCTCTCTCTACGAAGTCCGAGATCCGCTTTGATTGGCATCGGACCCAACAAAATGGCTATTTTGAAACATGTTTCTGCAAGGTGGATGACTTCCGCTTCTGGAACGCCATGCATCAAAGTTGCGTTTCAATTCGCTGATGTCCACCAAGGCTCGGTCTTCTTCACTTGCAGGGGTGAGGTCCGTGCGTCTTCCAAGCCGAAGTGAATGGGCTGCACTCTTCACCTAAAAATCCGCAGATCTCAGGCCCCGTCATTTTCCTTTGGGAGCCTCACCTGTTCTTCAGACCACTTCGAACCGCATCCCCGGATTATCCTGGCCTTTGCTATATATATTACCCATGTAAACGGAGCGAACGGATCCTTCTGGAGTCGAATTTCGAGCGCAACTATTAACTGCACGACCGCGACCTTGCCATCCTGTGAAGTGTCTAAATCGCGATAGGAATACGGATCTGCTTCCTATTCTGCAATCCACCCTACGCGAACATCGAGGAAAAGATCCACAGCATGGACGCGGGCCTTTCCACTCGCATGGTCAAGGCCTTGCAAGATCTTCTTCCTACAGCAGCTGCTATTGCACCGCCTAGCAACTTTGATCCAACCACAGCGATCGATCTCTCGGACGCTCAGAATTCGTGTATTCGCGATGAAGTTCAGGAATTCTTCAAGACCATCGTAGAGGAAAAGCTTACAGAAAAGGTGAGCTCGTGGCAACCTGTGATTCGCGTATATCCTAACCATTCTCGCAGACCTTTTCGCTGCCCACTAAACTTGGTGGTGATACCGCGGTCCGCGCCGCTTTGGCTTCCTTTTTCAATTCATATTTTCACCCGGTACATACAGTATGTCCAGACCATGTGGTCGTCACTGCTGGTGCAAGCGATGCTCTTGAAAGTTTGATACATGCCATCTGCGACGACGGCGACAGTGTCATTATTCCAGGGCCTTACTGGTGTATGTTTTATTCTTCCCCAGCCTGCAGCCTCCGACTCACATCGATTTCTCTAGACGGCTTTGAGCCAATCTTGAAGGGTCGAGCGAATGTCAACACCATCGTTGCACATCCGCCAAGCTACAAGAATCACTCAACATATCTTCTGCCAGCCCTCCAGACCGCCTACGAGTTCTCTAACAGCAGATCTCGTATCAAAGCTGTGATTTTATGCAACCCGCAAAACCCATTCTCTCGAAGCTATCCAAAAAGAGTCATCATCGAATGCATGGAGTTCTGCCAGGAGCGTGGACTTCATTTCGTGTGCGATGAATTGTATGCACATGCATCAATCAGGACCGCTCCAGCTGATGCCCCACGTTTTGTGTCTGCGCTCTCACTGGCGGAACCTCTGCAGCCTGAAGGTGCGGTCAAGGTAGACCCAAGTCGTGTTCACGTGCTGTGGAGTCCGAGCAAACTTTTCGGTTCTAGTGGACTCAGGGTAGTGAGTATACTCCAATAGCCTTATCACATATACTCCTCGCCCATCTACTCACCATGCACAGGGCTGTATGATATCCCAAAGCAACCCACAGCTTCGTATGGCTGTTTCTGCGATAACGTACGCACATTCGAACAATATTGGCACTCTCTACCTAACATCTCTTCTCAATTGGTCAAAATTGCCAACCCTCATAGCTTTGAATTCTGAACGGCTGACTGAGTCCTATCGTTTACTCGCCGAAGCTTTCGAGAAGTGGAACATCGAGTTCATCCCGCCCACCGAAGGCCTTTTCCTTTTCGCGAAGTTAGCGAAAGACGTGAAGACCGTAGAGGAAGAAACGAGCTTCTTCAGTAGACTGACTGGACATGGCATTCGCGTGAGCCCGGGGAGACTCTACAACGGACTGCACACCGAGCTTGGATGGGCGAGGATGAAGTTCTCTGTCCCAGCGGATGTGATGGCTGCTGCGCTAGCGAAACTTTGGGCTTTTCTCGCTAAGGAGGCTTCCTGAGCTCTCTTTCTATTGCTATCTTATGCGTCTTGATATGCAGAAGGTATCTTATCTGAATTTCGTCATTTTGTATAACCACTCATTTGAGTCGAAGGATAGATATTTGGGTCCTTATTTTCACCTACAGTCACCTACAAAATTCCTTTACTATTGGAAATTCTCTGTATCTCATCTCGAAGGTTCATCAATCTCTAGTCCGGACATGGCGTTCGGCAGCCAGCCACAAATATTGACGGGGAACGTAAACCGAAGGAAGATGCAGAAGGCTGGATTCGGGGGCCAAAAGTTGGACTAGTTGCCGGCTAAAGTTGAATTGTGGCACCCCTCCAGGAACCGGTAAAAGATCCTTCTGCGCGGCTCCGTGCGGGGCGTCAGGGAAGATGTTAGTTATCGGCGCCAGGTACATATGCGGGGTGGGTCACCTGCCGGTTTCGTCTTATCGTGCAGGTCTGCTCTTACAACTACTTTCATGCTTCGCGATCTTGGGAATTCCTTAGCTCAGCAGTTTTACGAATGTATCTATCCACGGTTTCCATTATTATATGCATACGCGGCGCAACCATGGTAGCGTTCCTACCCACCTAGAATTCTACCAGATCAGACTCATGCCACCATGAGCCACTGATTGCGCGTTGGACAGGTGTGACGATATCACTGCATCCGAGCGATCGAGATCCCTAGAAACGTGTGAAGTACCTTCAACTTGAATATTCTCGTCTTATGGGTTCTTTCATGGCGTACCATCAGAGAAAGTAGGTTCTCATCAGCACTCTTGATGGCATGGTAAATTTGAAGCCAAACGCGATTTACGCACATATGCCCATACTTCTAACGAAGTTACGTATTGCCAATTAGCAAATGCGGGGAATGGTCTAGCATGGTGGATTACAGTGCAACTTGGATGAAGTCAACCTTGGAAACTCTCCGTTATAATAGCCCAAATGATATTCGACAAGCAGCCGTTATCTACGCATGTATCAAGGCTGGATATCAGGTCTGACACATTCATGCCAATATCGGGGATTGGGCTAACCGGTTATGCAAGTGCCTTTTCGCCTCCCGCTGCAATCGACTCCCCGTCATGCAATCCCTTCTAACAGCCGTCTCCTGTCAAAAGATACTCGCCGTCGGCATCAGAATGAACAAAATTCCTGCCATCACCGAAGTATATCCAATCACAGCTTACCATGCTCCGAGCATTGAGGTTCTACTCACAGAGGACTTCCCGCATTTTTCTTACACGAAGACCGTTGAACAGGCAAAAGATGATCCATTTCTCGTTCTACATACCTCTGGAATAACAGGCATGCTGAAGTCGATGACCTTGCGAAATAATTGGCTAGCAACATATTCAGTTAGTTTACAAGCACCGACACCAGTTGGGTATGAGTGTTTGGAGAGTAGATTGAGAGGATGTAGGGTTTTGTTATGTCTCCACATTTTCATGTATGCTGATCTCCTTTTCCTTCCCGTCTTCACTGCAAGGTGTGATTCCGGCTCCGGTGGGAGGAAGTAAAACTTGAACTTCATTTTCTCCACGATCCTACATTCCCAGCCCAAATCGACATCGTTCGGTTTTTGCACCTAGACTTAGCCCTATAAAGCTTCTTTTAACCATAATTATAGGCAGTGTAGAGCAAGAGTAAGGTTTTTGGAGGTGATTAAGTTCGTAGTGCATGTCTCATCGAAGCGGGGAGTAAGCTGTATTTTTGAAAGGCCCACTTTCACACGCCACTCTCAACGTCTCCACTTTAATTGACGGTTTGAATTGAGTCAATGTTGACATCGCATACATCCCTCCAGGCTAAGTCGATCCACTCGTCTCAAACCCCAAGTACCTCGATATCGCAACGACAAGAACAATGAAGTGTATGAAGCATATATTATGCGAGATCCAGAAAACGACGTATATATCCAGTCCGTTTTCACGTCGTCCACCTATTTGAGGGAGATTCCGACACGAGGCCTGTTTGTCAAGCATGTGAAGATCGAGGGCATGTTCAAGTGGGCTGGCAGAGTGGATGATACGATATCGCTGTCCATGGGCGCAAATCTCTCACCTATAGCGATGGAAAATGGACTTTCGCGACATCCTGATATTTCTGGTGTGTTGATGGTTAGAAACGGGCGGCCGAGACCGGTGCTAGATGTTGAGCCGCGGGATTCCACTCTGAGGATAGGATTATTGGATAGGATATGGGGAACCGTTGGAAAATTGAGCTCGGAGTATTTTGAGGATGATAGGATTAGGAGGGAGGATGGTATTGTTACGGAGGAGAAAGGCCGATGGTAAGGGCAGATAAAGGGACGGTGAGGAGGGAGAAATAAGACTGTGGAGGTGTATAAGCGGGAGTTGGACTCGTTGTATTAACCAAGACTAAACGGAGTATCTCAGGCTGAGAAAGATGCGCACGAGGTAAAAGTCAACGGTTTGAAGTTGAATGGGGTGGTGCATCAAGAGGAGCGCCGAGATTCGGTGATGTAGGTTTGCATTATATTTTGGTATGTTTGGGAGGCACATTATTTCATCTCCAGTTTGGATACCTCTTTCTCTTCCATTTAATTCTTCATTTTCAGTACAATTTCCTCTTCATTCCCAAGTTCATATGGGCCCTCGCACCTCGTTCTCTTTCCCTCCAATCAACCGTCTAAGAACGCCCAAAATCTTCTTTGCCAGCTCCCCAGCCTTTCCAAATGCGGATTATGGCTTCCCCCTCCAACACTACCCTCTCCCTCACCTCCACCTTCGCCGCATACATTTCCTGCGTCGGCAACGGCAAAATTCTATCTGCACTACAAAACACATATCCAAAGCAACCCTTAAATTCTCATCTCTAAATGGATCATACCCCATCTCACTCGTAAAACAAGCCACTGGCATCTTTGGCAGCGCACTCACCAACCTCTCCACTTCATTCGGCTTTCGTCAACTCCACGCGCCCTGTTAAAGGGTCATAGTGCGCCCAATCGGGCCGTGAGTCTGTGGAAAGGGAGAAGCTCATGACGCTCATTGCACTCTCGGGTATTCGGGCACAGAAGGCGGAGAAGAACATTAGAGCGATAATTCTGCTTTTTTCTCCACGAGTAGTTCTTTCCTTCTTACTTAGACCGTGGGTGATGGCGGGACCGTATACGCCGCCATATGAGTGCATGCATAACATGACTTCTCTCCCTTCACCCTCGTTGAGTGGGACGACGAGCTTCGAGCGTGGGTATGGAGCGTATTGGGTTTTGGTAGCCGGAGCTAAAGTGTCCAGAGTGCTGTAATCGGTTATTGTGGGGGCGAATGGGTAGTTTCGTTCTTCGGGCCCGGTCTTTTAAAGGGGATGAAGAATCTGTCGGCAGGTCAAGCCCCGTGGCAGATTACGATGGTCGGGTTTTGGCATTGTGGAGGTGGAGCAGTGGGTGAGAGAAGGCCCGAGAGCATTGATGAGTGAAATCTGGTTGTGCCGGAGATAAGGTACTGCGGCTGAGGCGTAAAAGGGGCTGTGGAAGTGGTTGATATCATGTTGTTCGTTAATGGTGTGTTGGCGGTCTGTGCAGGCTAGGCTTGTGTAGGCTGGCGGATGGTGGTGGTGTTTGCCCACAGATGTCTCGGGGAATTATTTTCTGTGGTGCTTTTGAGAGGTGAGGGGTTGGGTGACAAGTACATCTAAAAACCAAAAATAGGTTGCGGTGGTGGTGGAGGTGGAGGGGAGAGTTTGTGGGGCGGCAAACGGGAAGAAGAACTGTTGGTTTGCCGATCTGGATCCTATCCGGGAATATTTTTGTAGCTGCTGCAGAGAGATACGGTATGGTGGCTAGCAAATTTAGAAATATACGATAGAGAAATGGGTATTCGGTTGTGAAGCCACCTTCATTTGCAGGGCGGACGTTCTCTCAACTCCGAATTGATGATAGACTCTCTCTTTCGATTTCCCTCTCCTTCACTCCTCAATCTCTATAAGTATAATTTATTTTTGAATTCTCTCACTAAAATTTGAACAGGTTGGAACTGGCAGCTGGGGGACACAGCGGCGTAATGACTCTCCCCGAGTGGGTCCGAGCAATCGACTGTCTTGAGGCTAGTCCCCGGGTTCAAGTAAGGTTTTCCTGATATGTTTTTCCCTTTTTGCCTTTTTCATCCTTTTCCCTTTTCTTTGCTTTAAATATTAGAAGCGACTCCCACATAAAACTATCATATAAAATGAATATATTGTTTGAAGCTCCTTTACTTACTCATCCATCACTCGTCCCTGCAACGCCATGGGTGAGTCGAATTGGCTTTGCAATTTCAATCTGTTCACTCGCTACCCGAAGTGGCGATCGAATGAATCAGGTAGATAGGATACCCACATCAAGCTTACTAGTAAATACGTGAACATTAATTCTCTAGAGTTCATGCCTGCGCCAGGACATGCAACCGGGGTCCGTAGTATTGGTGTCCGGGCTTGGTTCCTGGCACAAGTCCGCTTCGTATCCATACAAGTTGAACACCGACGATAGATGATTTTGTTCGGAAGCATTTCTAAAGATAATCTATTCAATGGTGCAGAAATGGACGAGAAGATAGATTTTGAGTTACATATGTGGTTGAGAATGATTTAATCAACTTGGAAATAGTAGATTGCGGTGCCCGGTCACCGAGAGGCCAAAGATTGCCGGTTATCGAAACGGGGATTCCTCGGTCCGGCCCTTTTTGCATCGATACCAGACCTGGAATGTTGCAAGGATTTTGCTCCGTTGATACAATGGTATTCATACAGTTTGTTGTCCCTAAAGTTCAGCTCATGCTACGGAAATCCCCAATTTTGACTCCAATGTCGCTAACGTAACCCAAGAATATCTAACACCGGTCCCCGACCATTCCATGCAGCCATAGAACCCGTCCCTATGAAGTTAATAATGTTCGGATAATTTAGTGTTTATAAAAAAGGAAAAAATCTGAAGATTTAGTTTACAAGACGTTGAAAGCATACAAGGTTGCATGCCCGGTTCCAATACTCGAACCTAGCCAAATGCTTCCATACGTGGACCACCAAGCGCAACTCTTCGGGCTTTCCAAATCAACTTTTCCGAATCATAAGAATATTAATGCCTGCATTTCCTACAAAAGTGTAGAGAAAATAACTGTATGTTTCCTTGAGAGCATGTCGAAAGGTGTTTCGGATACCGCCATTCGGGCCGAAAGTGTGGAAAGCTTGATTCATGTCGTCGACGTATTTGGCTATCCAAAAAGTTATGGAAACATACGCGAGCAAAAGAACTTGTATGACTGGAAAGAAATGTGAGAAGTAGTTTCGTGCTGTCGCCAAGTCGCACAGCCATGCTTATGAGTCCAGCTTTCTTGTCGTCTCGGACCTCCTAGAAGGCGAATACGGTATCGTAAATGACCGACCAGATAATATACATCGCTTAAAGCACAAACCTACCTTAGACTCGCAGGTTCCAGAAAATTGATTAACTCGATTCAGTAGAGGCAAGCACTGCGTATGATAGATGCGATTAAACGTCGAAACCAGCAGTCGCAGAACCGAGAAGTACATTCCATCCTAGCGTGTTTCCAACCCAGACCTGCGCGTAATTCGAAACTCGCTTTCTATACGGATACGACACCGCATACGCACCAAGACGTCCTGCGCCGGGAGAAATGGAATCAATGTCGCAATCCAAACCACCGTCAAATCCCGCAGCGAAGAAATGCGCCATCGGAACACTGCTTGCCCTCCGCGCCATGTGCCGAGATCTAGTACGCTCCATCAAGCGATCGATGTCGGCATCTGTAATGTTCTTCCATGCACACCCCATCCATCAGAGAATGAACGCGGAGAAGAAGAGCAGCGGGAGGAGGATGCGGATAATTGAGGCTAGTGATGGAAGTGTGTCTGTGGTGAGAACCGTGAAGAGAAAGCCGTAAATGTAAGGGAAGAAGATGTTCAGGACCCCCACGGCGTGATGGAGGCGCTTGAGTCCGGAAATGGTCTTAGTCTTTTGAGTATTTCAGCCTTAGGTGTCCGACAACTGCGGGGTTAGACATCATCCTACAGCTGCATAGACTTGGCACTCTTCGTCATCCCATTGACGCAGTTAAACACGCAAACCTCATCCTGTTCCTCCTGAAAATATAGCATATTGTGATACTTTCCAAAATGGACATCCCGGAGCTCACAAAAAACCTCGCCGCGCTTGCAGAGGCTGGGCCAGGTGTGATTAAAGAGGAGGAAAGACAGGGTCTTATTGCGGCATGCAATAACTTGAGATATGCATTGGAGTACCCCAGAGAATACACTATACGCACGATGCTAGGAGTGAGTGCTGCCCTTTCGACTTAGCTTGGGATAATGGTAATGGTGGTACAGGGCCACGATGCCGTTGTGCTCAGGTTGGGAGTGGACATGGGACTCATTGATATCGCTGTATCGGCCAAGGAGCCTGTGACTGTAAATGATCTTGCTATCCAAAGCTCATCAGATGCAGCTCTCGTTCGTAAGTGTATCCGGGCCTTTCCGGAGGTGGAGCTCTATTGATATCGAGAAGGTCGTATCATGAGATTGTTGGCGCGCATCAACATATTCGAGGAAGTTGAAATGGATACGTATGCTACGAAACCATTAGCGGCAGTATATTTCTCTGGTTCTCCCCTGAGAGAGGCCGTAATTCATCTGTGAGTACTTGTCGGAAGGCATACTTGGCAACGGATCATCTGAAGTACCGGCACCCTCAAGCAGGACCTAACACTCCCAGATCAACCACAGGGACAGCAGTGGCTAAACTCCCCGAATACTTCGCCGAAAAAGGCTACAAGAATCCCGATGATGCATTCGACAGCCCATGGCAATACGGCGAGCAAACTGATCTCCATTACTTCGATTGGCTCGCTGAACGCCCTCGTTTCCAAAAAGCTTTCAACACCGTAATGGGCATCCAAAGGCAGGGTAGAGGTCCACCATGGTTCGAGTTCTTCCCGGTCGAAGAGAAGCTCAAAGTCCAGTCACCAGATCAGACCCTGCTCGTCGACATCGGTGGAGGTATCGGCCACGATATTATAGGCCTCAAGCAAAGATTTCCTAATCTGCTAGGCAGATTGGTTGTGGAGGATCTTCCGGGTGTTATTGCGGCGGTGAACGAGTTGCCAGAGGGCATCGAGGCTGTGGGCCATGATTTCTTCCAACCCCAGCCCGAACTTGCCCGAAACGCGAAATCGTACTATCTTCGAACGATCCTCCATGACTGGCCAGACAAGCAAGCGGGACTCATATTGAAGAATATCCGGGATGTTATGGCGAAGGATTCGATCTTGCTGATCAACGAGAGTGTGATGCCAGAATCAAATGTTCCGCTGTTTGAAGCGCAGCTAGATTTTAATATGATGGCAAGATTCTCCAGCCTTGAGCGGACGGAGAAGCAGTGGAGAGAGCTG